GCCTTTTGAGCTACGATTGAAAGCGTAGAAAAATAGATATCCACTGAACTGCAATTTGTGGTAATTCGTACGCAATATAACCAAAATACGGAATAGTAAAAACAGCAAAAATCGTATCTAGTAGTAAGTGCCGGATTATGCAAGAAATGGCGTTTCAATAAGTTAGATAAGAACAATGTACGTGTTTGACTGAGACAGAAGTATTGTAAGAAGTTCATTTAGAGATACTATTGAAATTGAACAGTCTGTTTTATCGACCTCGTGCAAATTTTTCGGGCCTTCCGACATCGCCTTAATACATTCGATATTAAAGTCAGTCGATTGCTTGTTATTGTCGAGTCAATGCCTCGTGTGTCAGTAAATTGTGTTTCTTTCTTCAAGTTAATTTTTCAGTCGACGAATAATTAGTCGACATGGATTATTAATAATTAAGTGATAAATTTGATATTAAAATCAGTGCGAATGCTTGCTATCGTCGAATGAACGAGTCGTGAGTTAATAAATCACCGTGTGTTTCTTTCTTCGTGTGATTTTTCAATGGACGGGTAATTAATTGACAGTGATTGTAAAGTACGTAACGGAAATTAATTTGTAGATACATTAGTAGATTTCTCCTGATTTCTTCAAGTGAATAGTTTGTATGTGAATTGAGTGTGAAATGTTGAAGTAACACGGTTTGTAAAAAAAAGGATTAACTAATTAATTATTTGATCAGTGTCAGTCAGTGATAACTTGTGACATTAAAACTATCAAAAATTTATTTAAATACTCATTACGTGGAAATCAAATCGAAATAAGAATTCATTCATCTTTTTTGAGAAGCTACGGAAGTCGACAAATCTTTCACAAGGTAAGGTTGCGTGTGTGTGTGTGTGTGTGTGTGTGCGCGCGTGTGTGCGCGCGCGCGCGCGTGTGTGTGTGCGTGTGCGTGTGTGCGTGAGCGTGAGCGTGTGCGTGAGCGTGTGCGTGAGCGTGTGTGTGAGCGTGTGCGTGAGCGTGTGCGTGTGCATGTGTGCTTGTAAGCAAGAGAGAATGTAATCGCCTGTCCTAAAAATATCATGTGTATGCGCGCGTGTAGCAGTCAGCTGATCGTCGCGTACCGCCTGCGTCCGACAATAAGTTGCGCCGCCCCTGTCTATCTTCCATACGCCCGTAATTTGCTAACTATTTCTCGTTATAATTTGAAAACTAAGCTTCGGACAAAATTTTTGTATAGGAAAAATCGTCTTAGAGTTGAGTCAAGAATACGTCTTTACAAGGTCGCGGGGTTGTTCTGAATCACCCTGTAGATTCAATTATTTAAGTAAAACCAAATATTAATTTATTTAAAAAAAATTTAAAGCAATATTGTTTATTAAAATTACCTTGGAAATATTCACATTAATCTTTAAATGGTACACTTCTTTCGAGCACCCACTAATGGAACAATGGTGCGAATTTTGATTTGACATTTTAAATTGTACATCTTTCCTGAGGATAAAAACAGAAATGTTTTTAAAATCCCACTATTTTGGGGTAAAATTTTTTACAAATCCAGCGGTATTACTCAATTTAATGGAAAAACTATTTAACAATTGAAAATTAATTATAAATTAGTTATTGTTTTGAAAAACTTTACTTTTTCGAAGAAAAGCTGTCATTTTATTTCATGAAATGAAGTGAAACTTGCGTGATTCTTTAGTTTCTTTTAATTACAATTACACTTTAATAAAAAATTATTGTTGTTGTAGAAATAAAAAGTAAAATATTTTTCCACATAGCCAGAAGTTGGAATATTTTTTGTTCATTTATTAGTAATTTGAATCTTTCTAATAAATCTTTCTAAAAATAATTTCAATGAAAATTAGGTATTTTAAGAACAAGATCGGAAGAGCACAC